GGGACAGAGAGAGACAGAGCATGAACGGGGGAGGGGCAGAGAGAGAGGGAGACACAGAATCGGAAACAGGCTCCAGGCTCTGAGCCATCAGCCCAGAGCCCGACGCGGGGCTCGAACTCACGGACCGCGTGATCGTGACCTGGCTGAAGTCGGACGCTTAACCGACTGCGCCACCCAGGCGCCCCTCCACCACATTCTTTAGGAAGAGCCACGCATACTCTTTCTTCTTGAACTTTAGACTATGAATTTTTTGAAAAGCCCAATGTTATTGGGGCACCTGGGTGGCTCAGTGGGTTAAGCATACAACTCTTGGTTTCTGCTCAGGTCAAGATCTCACGGTTTCTGGGTTTGAGCCCCGCATCGGGCTCCATGCTGTTAGGACTCTCTTTCTTGCCCTCTCTCTTTGCCCCTCTCCTGCTAATTCTCTCTCTCTAAAAATAAATACATAAAAAACAAGAACAAAAAAGTTGAGGGATGCCTGGGTGGCTCAGCACATTGAGCATATATGACTTCGGCTTAGGTCATGATCTCACAGTTTGTGAATTCAAGCCTCACTGCTGTCAGAGGAGAACCCACTTCAGATCCTCTGCAGGTCTCTCTCTGCCCCTACCCCACTTGCATATGCTCTCTCTCTCTCTCAAAAATAAATAAAACATTAAAAAGAAGTCAATGTTATTGAATTTTATTTATTTTTTTACTTTGAAATTACTTTATTAATTGCAATGTATAATATATTAATGCAAAAGCATAATAGTTTACTGAGGGAGTCATAATCAGTCTTTATAAATAAAGTACACAGATAATATTCATAAGGCCACTTCCATACATATTAGCTTGAATTTTATCATTTTTTAATGTTTATTTTTGAGAGAGAGAGAGAGACAGAGTGAGAGCAGGGGAGGAGCAGAGACAGAGGAAGACACAGAATCCAAAGCAGGCTGCAGGCTCTGAGCTGTCAGCACAGAGCCTAAGGCAGGGCTCAAACACACAACCACGAGATCATGACCTGAGCCAAAGTCAGACGCTTAACCAATTGAGCCACCCAGGCACCCCATATTAGTCTGGACTTTAAATGTAACCGTATTCACTTCAGAAGGAATGAATTACTGAGACACACACCACCATGGATTAGTCTCAAAATAATTATGCTGAGTGAAAGATGCTAGACAACAACAACAACAAAAAGAGTACATACCGTATTATTCCACTCACTTAAAACTGTGGAGGGGCACCTGGGTGCCTCAGTTGGTTAAGCATCCGACTTTGGCTCAGGTCATGATCTCACTGTTTGTGAGTTCAAGCCCTGCATCAGACTCTGTGCTGACAGCTCAGAGTCTGGAGCCTGCTTCAGATTCTGTGTCTCCCTCTCTTTCTGCCCTTTCCCTGTTTGCATTATGTCTGTCTATCAAAAATAAATAAACATTAAAATAATAATAATAATAAGTTAAAACTGTGGAAAATAACAGGAGCACAAGGAAACATTGTGGGATGATATACATGTTCACTATCCTGATGGTGATAGTAGTCAAAACTTAACATATTATACACTTCAAATATGTGCTGCTTATTGTGTGTCAATTATACCTCAATAAAGCTGTTTAAAAATTATTTTATTTTATTTTATTGTTATTTTTTTTTAAGAGAGAGAGAGAGCAAGCAGGCACAAGTAGGGGAGAGGAGCAGAGGGAGAGAGAGAGAGAGAGAGAGAGAGAATCTCAAGCAGGCTCGACTCTCAGCACAGAGCCTGATGTGGGACTTGATCTCATGATCCTGGGAACATGATGTGAGCCAAAATCAAGAGTTGCACTTGATCTTAGCCAGAAGGCCGAGAAGCGATACCAAAATCAAGAGTTGAACGCTCAACCAACTGAGCCACCCAAGTGCCCCTAAAATTTAAATATAAATTAAAACAAGCAGAGGCATTCCTGTAGTCTAGAGACCATTTGTTTAGTGGTTTTTAGTTCAAGGAACAATGACACTCTATTAAAAGGAACTGTGAGCTGAAAAGGATTTATCCTTCCTTAAGATTTGGTTTAAGATCTTTTTCTCAGCAGCTCTTTCTGCCCATAGGTCCTGTCCCTGTGCCCCGTGCTTTAATAAAATCACCTTTTTGCATACACATGCACACACAAAAAGATTTGTTTCTTTTCACTCACAAGGTAGTTGACTCTTCCTTTGAGAAGGAGAAAAATAAGGTAATGGTCTCAACTGTCAACCTTCTCAGATTGTTTTGTCGATAATGATGGCAAAGATTATGTACTTACCATTAAATCTGCCTTGTTTTCTTTTCTACCTTCTATCTCTTGGGCAACCATTTTCTGAACTTGCCATTATCACAGAAAATATAGCTTGGTTTCAAAACTAAAACATCATCTTTATGAACTAAAAACATTGAAAATGCACATTTCTGTCTGGTACATCATTTGCTAACATTGAAAGAGACATTCTCAAGACCTTGAGAAGGCTGTTTTCATTTTTCTGACACATTCAGCCACCACTAACCTCTAAGACTGTCTTTCCGAATCACCTTCCTTTGCCTGAACTTTTCTTTTCAGGTCAGAATCTCTTCTTTAGGCGGTTTGTCTGTGACTCTCCAAACTCACTGTCCAAGCAAATACCTTCTGA